CGCGTCCCCGGGCCCCGGGCGAGCCGCAGCGCGGGAGGGCGGGAAGGTGGCGGCGGCCTCGCAGCCCCGGGCCGCGGTGCGGTTCCCGGCCGAGCAGTGAGTGAGCGGGACCCGACGGGCGCGGGGCCGGGGACACGTTCGCCAGGGTCCAAGGAGCGCCGCGGTGACTGCTGCTAGTCTCCAGAGTTAGGGGAAGCCCCGGGAGTTGGGGAGGAAGCCCGGGGCCTGTTTAACGACCTCCTGCAGCCTTCCTCCCACCTGGCCCCTGCTGCAGATCCGCCTCCCGACATGCTTGGTCCTGAAAGGCGAGTCCCACCTGTTGGGCAGACTTCGACACGGGCTGGCCCCTTCGTGTATCCTGGCCTGACCTGGCTAGGCATCCCTCCTGCTCTTTGCTTTTAAACACAAACTCAGTGCCGGTTTAGAACGGTTCTTTACAGCTGTGAAGAAAACGGCATACATCGGAAGTGTCTACACCTTATGCCAGGGTCTGGAGGTGCATATGCGGCTTGAGAGAAACCCTTCTACACTTTAGAGTGCTAGGCGTGGTCTTTGGAGTTACGAAATTGAAAGATTAGCCAGCCAGTTTGATTAGTATTGATCCGAAAGTTAGTATTGATCTGAAAGTTAAATTGTGGGGTGTGTTCAAACGGCCCTTTAGCCTTCCTTTAATCTGAAAGGTCTTTTGAAGGATTGTTATGTAGATGTAGAATAGCTTGTTTGCACCCTGCTTTGCGGTGGCTTTAACAGCTTTCATTTATGGAGCATCCAACTGTGATGGTAATTACTCATGTAATGAGCTAATGGTTACTGAGGAAAGATTAGTGTAAGGAGGCCTCAAATTCTTTCCATATCTGGACAGGCAATTTAAAAGTTGATGGCATTTGCTGTTGGCTTGGGGAGCTTGTAAGTCTGTATTGGGGTCAGCATTCTCTCAGCCCCAGGTAGTTGTGCTGGATCTTCTGTAGCCACTGAATCTGTACATCCTGGCCTTTTTTTTTTTTTTTTTTTCCAATGATGTACCTCGATTCTTAAATAGTGGTAGTTAATCTTCTTTATATAGGAACTCCATATACAGGCACATGTGTGAATTGATCTGATCTGTGGCTGCTGAGTTGTTGTCTAGGTTAGGGACCTTTCTCAGAACCTGCCGAGGGTTAGGCAAGGGTTTTTCTCTGCTCTTCCTCTGAGCCCAAGCTGGTTTCTAACTGCTGCTGCTCCTGCCTGCCTTCCTCCTACCCTGGATCCTCCCCTAGATGCCCTGACTCTCAACTGTAGCACCCCAGCTTTGCTTTTGCGGTTTCAGGTCCCCTGAGAGGTGCCTAAACTTTTGAAGCCAGACCCACATACCCACAAGTAGAAGTATTTGTTTGGCAGGTTTTCTGGTAATGTGATTCTCCGGAACAGCTAAGGAAATGGACCTCAGCCGGAAGGAGTGCTTCCACAAGGAAGCAGTTGTGGTGCTCGTGCACTGTCAAACTGCTGTAGGTAGCCTTAAAGCTGAAAGCCAAGTTTGTCATCTTAAACTTGAGGAAGCAGTTGCAGGCTCTTTAGGCACAGCTTGGCCAGGGAGACACAGGTAGTAGATTTCAAAACCAAGTTTCTGTTTTTTTATTTGCATTTTATGTGTGTAAGTATTTTGCCCACATGCATATAAGTACTCCACATGCATGCATTGCCCATGGAGACAAGAACGGGGCATTGGGTCCCTTGGAACTGGAGACGGAATGTTGTTAGCTGCCAGGTGGGTGCTAGGAATCAAACCCTGGTCCTCAGCAAGAACAGCCAGGGCTCTTTACCACTGAGCCATCTCCAGCCCCAAACCAAGTTTCTTGGTGCTTGGGTGAGAGCCCTTGTTGGCATCTTCCTGACTTTTCAGCAAAGCTAGACAGAGAGACATGGTTTATGATAGCAAGCTCCAGTGTCCCACACAGTTATCATTTGTGGTTTTATTAGCCTAACGTCTTTTCTCACTGCATTCATTGCCTTTAATGAGCTCATTCTCCTTTGACCCCCTCAGATTGGGAAATGAGTAGAACTTAAAAATGTTACGATGTGAACATCATACCTTAAGTTGTACACTTTGAAGCCATTTTACCTTTCTGAATTACCATTATATGGGTGATGGGGCTGGTTCTCTTTGTGAGGATTTTTCAGGGACATGTATTATGTAAATACAACATAGTTTACAGTATAATGTATACCTGTGAATGTTTGCATGTACAATGTAATGAATATCTTTAAAAAATCTGTGTTTTAGTCATTGGCATCAAGGCCCTTTTTTCCACTCAGAATCATTGAAGTATTTGCGCCAGGAAATATGGAACATAATAATAGATATGATTTGATAGTCCATGAAGTTGTTTGTAAATACGTTTAGGGAAAATTGGTTATGAATACAAATCATCGCCAATCTCCTGGATTATTTGTTTGGACTCTGACTGAAGGGTATGAGGGACGTTGATTTTCTAGTAGCCCAGGCTGCTCTTGATGTCTTTCCAGTAAGCTCACTGCATTTTGCAAGAGAGAGAACTGGGGAAGAGGACCATAGAAACCACATGGACACACTGCTCTCTAAAAACTGCAGTTTTTCTTTTGGTAATCACCTTTTTGAGGGCTGTAGTTAACTGGTGTCTCCTGAACAAGCCCGCAGGATGGTTTGGCATTAGCTGGCGTTGACTTTCTGCAATTTCTCTGGCTGCTCCTTGACTTTCTGCATCTCCCTGGCTGTTGGTGTTAGCAGTCTCCTTTGCTCTGTCTCTTGTTCGCCTCCCTCCCATGTTTGCTTTCTGCTCCACCTACTTGGTACCCATAGCTCAGCTAAGCCACACTATCGTTTGAAGGACATGGCCAAGCCAGGGAATTCAGTGCTCAGGGAATTCAGACTGCTTAATGTCCCAGGGGTTGAATCTGAGATTCATGGTGGGCTGTGTGTGCAAACACTCCAATAGTCTGTTACGTGAAATTGAAGGCAAAACTGTTTCAGGGCCAAGATAGGGATCCTTAAAGGGTCTGTGAGAACCCCTGTGACAGAAGTATTGAGTTGTTCTGGGGACTGCCAAACATACTGTTACGTGTTTTCTCTGCCCGTCCCAGCCTAGCTCCTAGCTTGTAGGATGAGGATAGGTCTATGTGAACGCGGATACGGATTTCCTTTCCTTTTCCTCTCCTTTCCCCGAGGAAAAACCTACTTCAGGAATCACCTAGCATTTTCTAGACCTCGTCATTGGACATGACTGTGTCGTCCTTACATACTTCTGGAATTCACGTGGAGCAGCATGAGCGGACGTGGAAAGTCCACTTGCAGAAGGGGTGGAACTTTGGCCTTGGTGCTGGTACTTTCCTACATTTGATGTGCTGTGCTATTTACCCCTTTCTGCAGCCACTGAGCAGTGGAGAAAGGCTGGGTTCAGTGATCTTTGCCTTTCCTGTGTCTGTGTGGGAAGGTGGGTTGGTGTCACACCTGTTAACTGTCTCACCAGTACTGCCTGGACCATGTGTCTTGTAGAACAGGCCAAGTTAAGCATCAGCTGCAGGGCTCCTGTTTAGAACTGAACAAAGCTGTACTCAGTTTTGTTTTGTTTTTGTTTTGAAGACAACTAACGATGCCTTGGTCAAAGGTTCATAATGATGAATAATTAAAACTGTCATGGGGGCTAGAGAGATGGCTTAGTTGTTAAGAGCACCTGCTGCTCTTGAGAGGACCCAAGTTTGGTTTCCAGCCTCCACATGGCAGTTAACAACCGTTTGTAAACCCATTTCTAGGGGATCTGATGCCCTCTTTTGGCCTCCACTCGGCACATACATGGTGCAAGCAAATGGTCATATACGTAAAATAATAAAAAAAATCTTTTTAAAAGAGAAATAATGTCTTGTTAGCCTTGTATATATGTTAGAATTGTTTTCATGTCTGCACTTGAATCAGAAATAGAAAAAAATGGCTTCCCAGAAATCTGCTTCACCAAACTCTGATTTTAATTTGCAGTTTTTGTTGGAAATAGTATAATTTTGCCTACACTAATGAACGTTTTCAGAACAAGTCTAGCTGGGTGTGGTGGTGCATGCCTTTAATCCCAGTACTCAGGAAGCAGTCAGGCAGATCTCTCTGAGATGGGGCCCTCCTGGTCTATGTAGCGAGTTCCAAATCAGCTGGGGCTACAGGGAGACTCTCTCAAATAAACAAAAACCAAAAAAATTACCCCACCCCAAAACAAAACATAATAAACCCAAACAAACAAATCCCCAAACAAAACAAGTCTGACTTGGGCATGGTTTTCCATGCCTATAACCCCAGTACTCAGGAAGGTGGAGAAACAGGAGGATTAGGGGTTCAAAGCCAACCTCGACCACAAGAGACCTTATCTCACTCCCCCAAACAAACACATCTTCAAAAATTTGTAGATGTGGAGGTCTTCAAATAGAATAAGATGTACCATTTAGTATGTAGCAGCATTAACTCAATTTGGCATGCTGTCTTTAAGAGTAGAATAGTTCATCTCTAGCTTATGAGAAATTGGGAACTTGAAAATAGATACCTTCAAATAATGTCATGCTGCTAAACCAAGAATTTCCCTAATGCTAGGAATTATTAGCATTTTGGTTTACACATTAAGTCAGTTCGAGGTAATTGACTAGCATGTCTGGAAATTGACTCATTGTGTTTTACTTTACCATTTTCTAGCTGTCTTTATTTTCCAGAAGAAAAGGTTTTGCTGTGATGACATCTGAGCCTGTGGGGTCGTGGCCTCTTTTTGGCCAGGGTGGACATCTCCTTACCCTCATCCCAACACTTAGGCAGAGAAAGTTGCCACTGGGTTCAGAGCTTTCAGCTTTGATGGTTTTATCTTAATTCTGCTTTTCCTTTAATTGTTTCATTGCCTTTCCTTTCCAGAACAAAAATCCAAGCCTCTACCTACTGCAGATTCCCAACTTTAAATGTCATTTCATTTCGTCATTGTTTTTAGCGATAACACTTTGACACTTGAAACTTGAATGCAAAAGTTTTGGAGGTTGAACCCAGTGCTTTGCCACTGAGCGACAGCCCAAAGGCAAAAGTTTGAGTGAAATATTTTTACTTCATTATTTTTGGTTCTGGGCATTGAGCCCCCAGGGACTTGGGCATGCTAGGCAAGTGCTGTAGCTCCATCTCTGAAGTTTTTAAAAAATAATTTAATCCTCTCCCTCATCTCCCTGTCTCTTCCTCCCCTCCCTCCATTTATCCCAAGGTCAATGAATGGTTCATTTTGGCTGTCATGTTTTCCTTTCTGACTATATTGATCTTTATTACTTAAATTTGAGATTTATC